AAAAAAAAAAAAAAAAAAAAAGCCAAGTGGCGAACATTGTATGAAATGTTACCTTCTGTGTAAAAAGGAGAGTTTTTAAAATGTGCATTTACAATGGCTTAGATTTGCATTTAGAAACTCCATCCCCTTTGAAAGCTTCTGCAGTTCTCCCTACAGGCTTTCTACGATCTCATCCCACTAAGAAACTGAGAGAGTACAAATGCATCTCTCACCATTCACCTTCTTAGGTTAAGAAGTTTTTACGGCTGGGTGTAGTGGCTCAAGCTTGTAACTTTTACGGCTGGGTGTAGTGGCTCCAGCATTACTTGGGAGGCTAGGGCAGGAGAATCGCTTGCACCTGAGAGGCAGAGGTTGAAGTGAGCCGAGATTGTTCCACTGCACTCCAGCCTGGGCAACAGAGGGAGACTGTCTCAAGAGAAAAAAAAACAAGTTTTTGCATCCAGAGATAATTTTGTTTGTTTGGTTTGTTTGGTTGTTTTTTTAAAAGTGATGAGGATCTTGCCGTGTTTTCCAGCCTGGTCTTAAACTCCTGGGCTCAAGTGATCTTCCTGCCTCAGCCTCCCAAAGTGCTGAGATTACAGGCATGAGCCACCACACCCAGTCAATAATCATTATTCAAAATGTTAAATTAAGAAAAGCACACTTCTGGCCAGGTGCAGTAGCTCACGCGTGTAATTCCAGCACTTTGGGAGGCTGAGGCAGGTGGATCACTTTAGGTCAGGAGTTCAAGACCAGCCTGGCCAACATGGCAAAACCCTGTGTCTACTAAAAATATAAAAATTAGCTGGGCGTAGTGGCACATGCCTGTAGTCCCAGCTACTCAAGAGGCTAAGGCAGGAGAATCCCTTGAACCCAGAAGGTGGAGGTTGCAGTGAGCTGAAATCTGCCACTGCACTCCAGCCTGGGCAACAGAGCAAGACTGTCAAAAAAAAAAAAAAAAAAAAAAAGCACAATTTTAATAAGAACCACAGTTCTAAGAATCCACAGTTAACTTCTTGGGGAAGAAAATCCTCAAGGAAGCAAGCTTCCCTGTCCCCCAGCCCAGCTGTCATTTCACACTTCAGATTCTTTGCTAATGGTTGTCTCCCCTGCTAGACTTTCAGCTCCACAAATGAGATGGTCCCTGTCTATAATGCTCACCATTGCACACCCAGAACCCAGCATAATGCCTGGAATATGGCAGGCACTCCAATATTTGTAGGAAAAGTATAATAGTAACATTTATTGAACACCTGCAGGTATAGGCAAGATATTTCCTAATAAAGAAAATTTCTAGTCCAGGCACGGTGGCTCACACCTGTAATCCCAGCATTTGGGAGGCAGAGGCGGGTGGATCACTTGAGGTTAGGAGTTTGAGACTAGCCTGGTCAACATGGTGAAATCCCATCTCTACTAAAAATACAAAATGAGCTGGGCATGGTGGTGCACACCTGTAATCCCAGCTACTTGGGAGGCTGAGACAGGAGAATCCCTTGAGCTTGGGAGGTGGAGACTGCAGTGAGCCAAGATCATGCCACTGTACTCTAGCCTGGATGACAGAGCAGGACTCTGTCTCAAAAAAAAAAAAGAATGAAAACTTCTTTTGGATTTTCTGAATCAACTTGAGAAAGTTTGGTACAAGAAGAAAGGAATATAGGAAAAGTTGTAATGCTAGAATAGATACCAAGGTCCAGAGATGAGCTAGATGTGGGCCCATCACCTTGGAGGGCTAGAGGACTCATGAAATTGACGAGAGGCAAGAGGCCTTTGGGAACTCGCAACATTCTATCATTCTGGGATTGAGTTCATGACATGGATCCCAAAGCATTTTGATATGTCACACTTACCTTTGAAACTTAAAGCTAAGGCTGGGCGTAGTGGCTCATGCCTGTAATTCCACCACTTTGGGAGGCCAAGGTGGGTGGATCACCTGAAGGTCAGGAGTTTGAGACCAGCCTGGCCAACATGGTGAAACTGCATCTCTACTAAAAATATAAAAAATTAGCCGGGTGTGGTGGTGGTGGTCGGTGCCTGTAATCCCAGCTACTCGGGAGGCTGAGGCAGGAGGATTGCTTGAACCCAGGAGGTGGAGGTTGCAGTGAGCCAAGATCACACCATTGCACTACAGCCTGCACAAGAGCAAAATTTCTTCCCACCACCCACACCCCTGCAAAAAAAACAAAAAACAAAAAAAACCTAAAATGTTGGAGTGAGAAGCCAGACACTGGGAAAATGAAGCCATTTTCTATTTTTGCCCCTTCAGAGAACTAGCACCCCTGAGTGATTTCTGCAGGGCAGCCCTGCTCCGAGGAGCCTGTGGCCCGCTTCTTACTGAGGGAAGCAACCCGACTGTCCACACGCTGGGCTTACCATGAGGTTTCATTATCGGCAGTAACTCGTTGCACATGTTTCTAGTGGCAAAAAAATTTGTCTTCAGTGTCATCTCGGCTTTAATGTCAAAGGGCATTGGATCATCACCTTTCAGAAAGAGAAAGAAACAGAAAGAAAGTCATATTTTTCCCCCTGAAACTCACATGACAATGTGGATCCTAACTCCGAACAACTAAAGGGAAAAAAAGTTAATTTTAAAACAATTTTTAAAAACGAGGTCAGTGATTCTCAAACTTTAGTGTGCATCCGAATCACTTGTAGAGTCACCGAATCACAAGTGAATCATCCGAATCACTTGTAAGCTGTTAAAACACAGCTTTCTGGGCCTCACCATCAGAGTTTCTGATTGCAAAGGGCTGGAGTAGGGCTCCAGAATTTACATTTCTTTTCTTTCTTTTTTCTTTTTCTTTCTTTCCTTTTTTTCCGAGATGGAGTCTTACTCTGTCACCTAGGCCGGAGTGCAGTGGCACAATCTCGGCTCACTGCAACCTCCACCTCTGGAGTTCAAGCAATTCTCCTGCCTCAGCCTCTGGAGTAGCTGGGATTACAGGCACGTGCCACCACGCCTGGCTAATTTTTTTATTTTTTGCAGAGATGGGGTTTCGCCATGTTGGCCAGGCTGGTCCCCAACTCCTGACCTCAAGTGATCCACCTGCCTCGGCTTTCCAAAGTGCTGGGATTACAGGCGTGAGCCATCGCACCTGGCCTGAGTTTACATTGCTAAGTTCCCAGATGATGTGACAGCTATTGGTCTCTAGCCACACCTTGAGAACACTTGGCTTTGACTATCATTTCTCAAAGGTGCGTAGGAGGGAGCTGGGGATTCTGTTGAAATGCAGTTTTTTTGGTTTTGTTTTGTTTTGTTTTGTTTTGAGACAGAGTCTCGCTCTGTTGCCCAGGCTGGAGTGCAGGGGTGTGATCTCCTCTCAGTGCAAACTCTGCCTCCTGGGTTCAAGTGATTCTTGTGCCTGAGCCTCCCGAGTAGCTGGGATTACAGGAGTGAGCCACCTTGCCCAGCTAATTTTTGTGTTTTTAGTAGAGACAGGGTTTCACCATGTTTCCCAGGCTGGTCTTGAACTCCTGACCTCAGGTTATCTGCCTGCCTCAGCCTCCCAAAGTGCTGGGATTACAGGCGTGAGCCACTGGGTCCAGCGGAAATGCAGATTTTAATTCAGCAGGTGTGGGGCAAGGCGGGAGATTCTGCCTTGCCTTGAGTGCCCGGGTTTGCAGCTGCTGCTGGTCCATTCCCTACACTTTGAAAGGCAAGGGGAAGTCCCTCCGCCTGTCGTCCAGGAAGCCGGGTATTTATCCGCCAATTTCTCAGCCTATGGCTGAGGGCTGCTTTAGGGGTGTTAATCCCCACTCCTGCACCCCAGCTCCCAGAAAGCCGGCTGGCTGAGTTGCTGGTGCGGGTCAAAGAAAGTCTCAGGTCCCCATGTACAATGCGGAGTGCTTAGGGCCAAAGGGATGAGTGGAGACTTCTGCTCCCCCATCCTTCATTTCACTCCCTCTTAGGCTCCCCCCCCCACCCCACCCCCCCACTAGGTTGGAGGTGAAGCCGGCCTGTTTATTTCTCCGTGGTAACTTTTTTTTTTTTTTTTTCCCCCCCCAGACGGAGTCTCGCTCTGTCGCCCATCCTGGAGTGCAGTGGCGCGATCTCGGCTCACTGCCTCCAAGATTCAAGCGTTTCTCCTGCCTCGGCCTCCCAAAGTGCTGGGATTACAGGCGTGAGCCACTGCGCCCGTCCTGTAATTTTCTTCAGTAGTAGTTAGAATAAGTAATCTGATCCCCGCCCCTCTCCTTAAGGAAGATGCTTTTAAGACCACACACACACACGTTTTATAACAAACATAAGCTCCCCGGGGGAGGGAACGAGAGGGCTCGCTTCCTTTTGGTCAGAGCCTATCAAAGCTCTTCATTACACAAATTGTGAAGTCCACCAAGTGCAAGTGCGCGCTAATCCTGTTCTAGCGATTCATTAACTTCCCCAAGCAAATGCCTCCGGGCATCTATGAATGCGCCCTTTCAAGGAAAGCGAAAGCCCAAAGCGAGCGGTGACACTTTTTTTGCAGAGAAAATGTTTCTTGCGTTGGAAGGAAAGCTGATGAACTCCAGCAGGGCGTTGCCGCCTCCCAGGAGGCCAGTTTTCCTGCACACAGCAGCGGCTGACAGTTCGGGGAGGGCCCCGGGCCGCGCACAGGCCCACACAGGCCGGCGGGCGGGGCGCCCTGTGTCTGTCGCCCGGGCCCGCCTGGGGCTCAGCGAATCACGGAAAGCGAAAACCGCCTCGCGGGAGGCGTGGGCTGAGCGCATCCCTAGGGGCCGGCGCCACCCTCCTTGGTCACTCAAGTGGATGGGTGGGGAGCCTGCGGCTGGCCGCCCCGCACCCTCGGAGCGCTCCAGGGGCCCCCAACCCAAGCCCTGCACCTACTCTTGAAGGCGACTGCCGCGTTGTTGACCAGCACATTGAGCCCGCCGTACTCCTTGCGAAGGAAGTCGCGCAGGGCGCGGATGCTCTGCAGGTCGTCGATGTCCAGTTGGTGGAAGCGCGGGCTCAGTCCCTCCGCCTGCAGCTGCTGCACGGCCGCCTGACCCCGCGCCACGTCCCGCGCGGTGAGCACCACATCCCCCGAGAACTGTCGGCACAATTCGCGCGCGATGGCCAAGCCGATGCCCCTGTTGGCCCCGGTCACCAGCGCCACGCGGCTGCAGGACGACATGACTGACCCGGGCGCGCGGGACACCTGCGTGGAGGGCGGACCAGGCTTCGGACCACCTGGGGCGCGCCCCGAGGAGCCCAGCTAGTGTCAATGCCGCTAGTGTCAATGCCGCCGCGCAGACTAAGATCCAGCGCTGCGAGTCTTAAAGAACAAGGCCCCGGCCTCGGTCCCTCCCCTCCGAGGAGGGGCCGTCTGTGCCTTCTGTTCCAACTCCCGGGCCCGCCCCCTGCCCACGCTGCGCCCTTCAGGATCCGGGCTCTGAGCCGCAGGGTGATCTGAGAGGTGTCTGAAGCCAAATCGAACCTTGATGGGTCAGTCGGGGGCTCCAGATTCATGGCAGCTGGACTGAAGAAGTTATTTTGGGAAAACCCCAAAGTGAGAAAAACAAGTGCTGAGTAATTTTCTTGGGTGTGCGCCCATCATGCACGCAAAATGCGAATGTTTGCCTTTTCCTAAGATGCAGTAACTTTACTTAGACACAGTAACTGCTTCTCTGGACATAGATCCCCTTGCTTGCTTAAAAGGAACTCAGGAGAGGGAATTAGATGCCCTGTGAGCACACCTAGCAGGTGTAGGCAGGCGACATCGCTCTGGGATTCCCAGTGAATATGCCCCCAAGTGGGAGGGAATGTTCTTATTTAATCCTGACTTAACTCCTATGGGTGCTAAAAATGTCTGCATTTAGGTTTGCCCAAGGAGGATATAGATCCATAGAGATCTGGATTGATCATATATTCTCACAGTGAGATCTGTGTACCAGCAAAGAAAGTTAAACTGAAACCAAATTCCCAAAGGTGTGTCAAGCTGTGGGCACAAAATTAGAGCCCCATCCATCGTCTTCAGTGTAAACTGAGTTGTTTGATCAGTGACTTTGAGATTTGGGGAGAACTGTGACATCATCACGACTCAGTCTTTTCCATGCAGAGCTGGCTAACCGGCCTGTGTCTCTGTTACTCTGACTCCACCTTCTCTCTCAAGTCCTTACTTGAGGTTCTGGAGGTGGGCCCCTGCTGTGATCTCCTGCTGTGCTTCTCCCAGTATTTCCTTTTTTCTCCTAAAGATCATTTGGTCTGGACGAGGTGGCTCACACCTGTAATCCCAGCACTTCGGGAAGCTGAGGCGGGTGGATCACGAGATCAGGAGTTCAGCCTGACCAACATGGTGAAACCCCATCTCTACTAAAAATACAAAAATTAGCTGGGTGTGGTGGCATGTACCTGTAATCCCAGCTATTTAGGAGGCTGAGGCAGGAGAACTGCTTGAACCTGGGAAGCGGAGGTTGCAGTGAGCCGAGATCATGCCACTGCACTCCAACCTGTGCAACAGAGTGAGACTCCTTCTCAAAACAAAAACAAAAACAAAAATAAAATCATTTGGAACCTTGTTTTAAGGATATGGGGCTATTTAGGTTTTCTATTTCTTTTTCTTTTTTTTTTTTTGAAACAGGGTCTTCTCTGTCACCCAGGCTGGAGTGTAGTGCTGCAGTCATGGCTCACTGTAGCCTTAATTTCCTGAGCTCAGGTGATCCTCCCCTCTAGCCTCCCCAGTAGCTGGGACTACAGGTGTGCCACAGTCATGCCTGGCTAATTTTTAAATTTTTGTTTAATTTTTATTTTTGAGATGGGCGTCTCACTGTGTTGCTCAGGCTGGTTGAACTCCTGGGCTACATCGATTCTCTCTCCTCGGCCTCTCAAAGTGCTGGTGTCACAGGCTTGTGTCACCGTGCCTGGCCCAGTTCTTCTTGAGTGACCTTAATTTCTGTTTTTCACTATTTTAGTTTGTTAAATAAAGCATTGATCCTGTTTTATCACTTGGCAGGAAAACTAGACAATCCACCAGCCCAGGAGGGGACAAGCAGGATTAATCCTCCTCCTCGTCATCTCTGGCTCCAGCCCCACCCTGGCCCATCTTGCCATTCTTCCTCTTCACGTGGCTGGGGTGGCCACCCCCATAGGGAGGCAGAGGGAGAAGTCGATTGCTTCTGGGAATCCAGGCGGACAGTGAAAAACGGGATATTCACCACCTGCTCATGGACACGGATATGATCTGGCGGATGAGCACACAACCGTGGCGGATGGACTTATCCAAGCCCAGCTTGAAGACCTGAGTCTGTAGGCATCTCTCTAAGAAATCATCGATCTTCAGGCCCACGATGTAATCCAGCTTCATCTTTCCCTCAACCAGCTCCCCAGTGCAGACCAGCCACTGCAGCAGGGAGTGACTTCGAACAGAAGCCGTGGGTCCTTCTCGTCAAGTGTCAGCGGCTCCCTGGCAGCCTTGTGGATCTTGACCAGGGTAAATTTGACCCTGCACACCTCACATTTGTTCTGGAGCCCATACTCGCCAATCAACTTCAGCTTTTGGTCGAGATGAGATTTCTCGAAGGGTCTCTGCGGGGTCACATAAGTTTTGCGACAAACCCAGCTCCAGGCCGCTGGCGTGTTGGCTCCACTTGCCCGTCTATGCCTAAGCGCAGGCCCTGGTCATTGAGAAAGAGCTCAAAATTTTTATATGTTTCATCTAAGGTGCTGATTCTATTGATACAAAGTTGTTCATAATATGCCCTTATCCTTTTAACATTGGTAGTGATGCTACCTGTCTTTTCTGAGATTGGTTTGTGTCTTTCGTATTTTTTTCTGATCTGTCTGGCTAGAGGTTTATCAATTGTTTTGATTTTCCTCAAACTTTTGGTTATAATGAGTCTCTCTCTCTCTCTCTCTTTTCCTGATTATATTAATTTCTGTTCTGTTCTTTGTTTCCTTTCTTCTCCTTACTGGATTTTTTTTGCTCTTTTTCTAGTTTCTTACTGTAAAGGCGGAAGTCATTGATTTGCTTTGATTTGAGACTTCTTTTCTAACGTAGGCAGTAAGTGGTGTAAATTCCCTCTTAGTATGACTTTAGTGGCATCTCACATTGATATGTTTTCACTTTCATTCAGTTTATTTTTATTTTCATTCTTATTTATTTATCTTTTGAGACAGAGTCTTGCTCTATCACCGAGGCTGGAGTGTAGTGGTGCAATCTCAGCTCACTGCAGCCTCCACCTCCTGGATTTAATCAATTCTTGTGCTCCAGCTTCCTGAGTAACTGGGATGCGCCTTTCACCATGCTCAGCTAATTTTTGTATTTTTAGTAGAGACGGGGTTTCACCATGTTGGCCAGGCTGGTCTTGAAGTCCTGACCTCAAGCGATCTGCCTGCCTTGGCCTCCCAAAGTAGTGGGATTACAGGCGTGAGCCACCACGCCTGGCTAGTAGTGTATTTTTTAGTTTCCAATTTACTTGGGGATTTTTCCAGCTATCTTGTGATTGATTTCTAACTTAAATCCATTGTGGTCAATGAACTTACATTGTACAACTTAACTACTTTTTAAATAATTTCAAAAGCTGAGAGAGATATTTAAAGCATGTTTTTATGTAATGATAATAATCTCAGAGAGAACATAGTTGAAGAACAGGAAGAATTACAAGAACAAAATGTGTGGGAAGACCAAGCACGGTGGATCCAGGAATCAGGTGGGGGCGTGGAGGGGGAAGCAGTGCACTTCTTCTCTTGTAACAGAAGGGAAGGCAGAGTGTGTGGGTTTAGACCCAAGCATGTTGGGGAAACTAAGGCCTTCCTGAGGGCATCTGCTATCTCTTTGGAGGGTGACAGATTTGAGGTCATAATTGAGTGGCATTAGTTTGGGGAAATTGAGGACAGTAGCCATTTTGCAGATTGGGAAAGTGATTTTTTTTTTTTTTTTCTAGGCTTTAAAAAGAATGGTAGGGGCTGGGCACAGTGGCTCACACCTGTAATCCCAGCACTTTGGGAGGCCAAGGCAGGCAGATCACTTGAAGCCATGAGTTTGAGACCATCCTGGCTAACATGGTGAAACCCTGTCTTTACTAAAAATACAAAAAAAAAAAAAAAATTAGCTGGGCGT